CGTAGACAAAAAAGTCCTTTCCGCGTGGCCCACAAGCAACGAGGCAGTGTCCCAGTGGGACTGTTGATCCATTTAACTTAAAATTCCGTCGACCTCTGAACAAATTCGTTAAGCAGTACTTGAGAGCCACGAACGTTCGTGGCATCAGAAAGGATTACAGCAGCTTCCACCCGTAAACGGGTGTGGAGCAGGATCCCAAAGCCCCTGTCAGGAGACGGAGGACTGTTGGTGGCGTGGCCGGTGCCCGTGGGGCCTGCCCAGCACGGTGGCCTGAGCGCAGGACCCCACCTGCCGGCCCGAGGCCGTGCTGCTGCGTATTGGAGCCGTGCCTTTTCTCTGCGGTTTAAGCCAATCACACGAACTCCGCTCCTAACACACACCTTGGTCGCCTGCCTACGCTTCTCCAGCTGAGACTCTAGGTGCACCTCCATTCTGCTCAGGAGGTTGTTGGCGGGAGACTGTGTCCCGACGCCCGGCCGGCTCCATACCGACCCTTCAGGGGAGCGCCCGTCCTGTGAGCACCTGCTCTCTGCCGGGCCTGTGCTGGTCACGGGCCACGAGTGGGCCATCCTCGTGGGGCTGAGGTCTGGCCTGAGCGTGAAGCCGGTCTTGACCCGGGAGGGGAGACGGTCGCGCCCACCAGCGAGGCAACGGCGCGCCTGTAGGCAGTGTGCGCCCTCTGTTTCCAGGGCAGGTCCGAGCCGCCGGGATGGCAGGCCGGGCGGGGTCCTCCTGTGCCGGCACCCCCACCTCTGGGAAAGGCTGGCTCGGCCCCGTGTGGGACGCGGAGGTCTCGTCAGTGTCCACCCCCACCCCCAGCTCCAAGGTTTCTTCGAGGACTTCGGGCAGCACTGAACACGGTTTCTCTCTGAATTAAACTTGAGGATGGCGAGGCCACGTGTGCTCCGTGGCCGGCGGGTCTTGTCGGGGCAGAGCAGTGGGAAAATGAGGAGACATCCTGGGATTCCTCAAGGAAAAGATGCAGAGCCCAGAGAACAGGGCGGGACCGTCACGGCCACGAACCCACCACGCAGCCACGGCACGGCCGTGACAGACTGGGAGGGAGCGGGAGGCGTGGGGGAACAGGCGCTCTCGTCATCACGGCGGGCGGGCAGAGTGTGAACCTCACAGCCACTGTGTTCGCCCGACCGCACGCCTCCCGCGGACCAAGTGAAGGAGTGATTATGGGATGTTCTCCCGCCATCCCTGGTTTCCTTGGCAACCAGATTCAGCGCGAGGGAGCGGAGGCGCCGAAGCCGCCAGGAACTGGGAGAGAAGCCCCGCGTTTGAGTTGGAAACCGCGTGGGAACTTCAGGGCGTTTTACCACGTGAACGGGGTCCACCGGGAAGGCCTGCCACGGAGACCAGCCCGGAGCAGGGAGCCGCCCAGGGCCCGGGCCGTGACTGGAATACCATTTCCCATCGCAAGAAATCAGGGCGACTGGCGGACGGTCGTGGGCAGGAGGTGAGCACGCGGGCCCGGGACACTCGGCCTGGTGGACAGGAGACAACCGGGGTCACGGGGCGTCCGAAGGGCTCGGGGCCGCCTCTCACTGGCCGCACACGGGGTGCTCGGGGCGCCAGTAAGGGTGAGGCCGGCAACGGTTGAAATCGTCAACTGTGTTTAAATCCCTTCTGAGGCCGACGTGGTCCCTTGAAAACTGGGCCCCTTGAAGCAAAGGATCCAGCGGGCGTCCCGCAGCGTCGGGGGGACCAGCCACCCCAGATGCAGAAACCGCTCAGCCCCGGGACTCTGAAAAGGCAAAGCCGCAGCCCCGCTGGTCGAGAGCCCCAGCCACCAGCCCTGCCGCTGAGCCGCCCACAGCGCGTGACCACGTCAGGCAGACTTTAATGAGGTCCTGGGAGGCTGCGGCCCGTCGGGGGACAACTGTGGATCTCGGGGAAACGTCTCTACGTGCTTCACTGGTGGAATAACCTTCTCAGCAACGCACTATAAAGCTGTCGTGGGTTCCTGAAACAGGCCTGAGTCACGAAGGGCCCCCGGGGCTCAGGGTGCCGGCCACTTTGCTCACTGTGTCCGGTGCTGTGACCCGCTCCTGTGGCCGCTGCGAGGCTGCCGTGAGGCTGTCGCCAGCTTTCCGTCAGCCACCTCTCCCCCACCCGCGTGCTCGGGGCCACGCGCCTCCCCGCCATCCCGCATCTCCGGTAGGGGAGACTCAGATGCCGAATGGGGAGGAATTCGCAGGCTGCGCGTGGAGGGAGCTTCAGAGGAAGCCCGCTGCGGGAGACAGACGGGGGGTGGGGGGGGGGCGGGCGGACGGCAGAGGTGGGAGCCCAGAACCGCAGGCGAGCGAGGCCACAGACAGTCCCGGGGCGCAGAAGCGTCTCCTGGGAGCGCCCCGATCTGTTTGTTCCTCTGTCTTCAGCGGCCGGTTCCGCAGCGGCCGTGGCGGGCACGCAGGCGCTGAAGGGACCCCGGCCCCGTTTGCTCCCTGTGAGCCGACCGCTCGCATTCTGAGGCACGCAGGGCAGGGCGCTCCGTGCGGGTCTGGGTGTTCAGCAGGCCCTTCGGGCGCTGGCAGACCGTCCCGGGGCGGTCACGGGCACCGGACGGGAGGGCCCCGTTTTCCCCCAGACGGCTTCGACGGTGGTCGGCCCTAAACCCTGAACATTTCTGGTACTCTGTCCTCCGCCCGCCCTCCCAGCTCCGCCCAGCACCTGCTCTGAGTGCAGATTCTTGTTCTTTTCTCTGCTGGTTCCGTCCAGGAGGCCGTTCCGGCTCCACCACGTCCAGGCGCGGGACCTCCGGCACCCGGCCCTCGGCGTCCGCGCCGCACAGTGGGGGCCGTGGCAGCCTCCCACGTGTGCCGACACCGCCCCGGAGTGGGCGCCCTCGAGAGTGCAGATTACTGATCGCACCGCCCTGCCCCCGCGACTGAGAACCGCTACCCAAAATCTGCTTTTCCATGTGTCCTCAGTTCAACTTAAACTGGAAAAAAAGGGCAGTTCACGTTGGATGGAAAAGGAGTAAATACCCGTGTGCGCTAAGCTCCAACAGCCACCCCGTTCTTTGGAGGAAACCCAGAGAGCTGGCCAGGGGCTCGCTCCGCCCCCCTGTGCCAGTGTCAGGGGCCTGGACGGCTCAGACAGGGCTCCGGGGCTGAAATTTCCTCCAGCACCGGGGGGGTCCAGGCCGTCCGGGGACACTTGCCCTGCAGGAGGGACACTCTGTCCCAGGGACAGGGATGAATAAGGCACTTTTTGTGCAGGGGCGTGAACGGTGGGGTCAGCGTGCAGAGGCAGGGCTGGAGACTGCAGGCAAGATTTGCAGGCACTCGGGCAGGGCCGAGGGTCAGATGGGGTTGGATGGCTTGGGGGGACGGCAGCCAAGGACCGTGGCCCCACATGAGGTGCTGTGGATGGGGATGCAGAGTGGAGGTGGGGTGGGAGGGGCAGGCTGGACCCAGGGCAGCTTAGCCTCTGTTTCATCCCGTGTTAGGTTCTGAGCACCAACTTTGTACCACACGTGGGTGGTGTGGTCATTGAGCCAAGGGTGAAGTTCTAGATAAAAACAAAAGATTCGGTAAAAAAAAATCCAAGTGATTCCAAAAATCTAGACGTTACGCGTCATCTAGACAGAGTGCGGCAGCCTGGGTGGGCCTCCCCGTTGGCCAAGACCGTCACAGAAGGTGAGCGTGACACCCTTGTCATGGGGCTGGAGGGTCGTACCCGAGGGGCCTCCCGCGCCCTCTTCCCGGTGGTTCACCGGAGAGGCGGCCGCTGGGCCCCCTGCACGGCTGGGCCTGGCCACGGGGGAGACGACAGAGCACATCTGTGTGCGCCCACGTGTCTGTGACCTCACCCTCCAGGCTCACAGTGTTTCCAGCCTCCCGCCCCTGCGGACGCCCACGGGTGCGTGGTCCCACCGCCCGCGGGCAAGGCTTGACTCGGCCTCCAGTCCGCACGTCAAGGAGACATTCTGGAAGGGAAGACGGCTCCCGGCCTGGCAGGAAAGAACCCCGGAGGTCCCCACGCCCGCCCGGCCCCCGGGGCCCGCGGCGGCAGAGGCGGGCTCCGCAGCAACACGCCTCCGCGGTCTTGTGTTTCAGGTGAGCAGGGTGGAGAGGGAGAAGAACCAGGAGCTGAGGCAGGTGCGGGAGCACGAGCAGCACAAGAGCGCCGTCCTGCTCACCGAGCTGAAGACGAAGCTGCACGAGGAAAAGACGAAGGAGCTCCAGGCCGTGCGGGAGGTGCTGCTGCGGCAGCACGAGGCCGAGCTGCTCAGGGTCATCAAGATCAAGGACAACGAGAACCAGCGGCTGCAGGCCCTGCTGCACGCGCTCCGCGACGGCGCCCCCGACAAGGTCAAGACCGTGCTGCTGTCTGAGGCCAAGGAGGAGGCCAAGAAGGGGTTCGAGGTGGAGAAGATCAAAATGCAGCAGGAGATCTCTGAGCTCAAGGGGGCCAAGAGGCAGGTGGAGGAGGCGCTGACCATCGTGATCCAGGCCGACAAGATCAAGGCCGCGGAAATCAGGAGCGTCTATCACCTCCACCAGGAGGAGATCTCCCGCATCAAGAAGGAGTGTGAGCGGGAGATCCGCAGGCTGGTACGTGCTGCGGGGTCGCGGGGTGGGGGCTGCTGGCGGGGTGTGGGGCGTGGGGCGGGGGGCTGGGGGCTGCTGGCGGGCCCTGCTGGGCGTGGGGGGATGTGGGGCGTGGGAGCTCACTGGATCCAGAGGGGTGAGACCAGAAGCCCCCGGGGCGAGGTCCTGGGCCTCCAAGGCCGTCCTGGCATCGATGCCTGTGCACTACCTGGGAAAGCATCCTCTCCGTCTGGGCCGTAGCAAGCGCGTCTCGTCCGGTCGGAAGGGCCAAATGCTGGCAGCTGCCTCTGGGGCGTCTGAATGGCTCCAGGGACCGGCTGGCCGTGGCCGGCACCCGTAGACTCCATGTTGTCAGAGACCCAGAGCTAAGAAGTTGAAGAGAATGGTCAGGGTTTGTGAGGGGTTGTGCCTGACCCCCCCCTCCCTCCCCCGGGAACCTGGACCTCCTCCGTGCTTTTGGGGGAACACCGCTCGAGCATCGAGCCCTGGGTCACCTGTCAGGGGCTTTGCCAGGACCCAGCTGGCTTTGCCGCCCATCCCACGGAGGACCCTGGGGGTCCCCTTCATGGGATCAGCAATCTTTCCAGCCGGCACAGCTGTGCACCCGGGGCACCTCTCCCTACTTTGGGGGGCTCTAATGTCCAGACGCTGCCCCCAGGCTGTACCGCTTCCCAGATGGGGCGTGGCTCTTGTCCGGACCCGTGGCCCTGAGGTGAGCACAGACTTTTGAACCACACACAGTGCTGCCATGTTGTGCACGTGGGGGCCCTGAACTCTCCCAACCTGGAGGGCCCCCTCCTTTCCCAGAGTGTCCCCTGTTCCAGGTACCCCCCAGACGACTCTAAGCCATGTGTCGGCACCTCCTTGAGCCACCGAGGACCTGGCCAAAATACCACCTCTGAGCAGTGGGGGGGTTCCTCACGTGACAGGATGGCCCCTCGGCTCCTCTTCTGCCCCAGAGAGGAACGAAGCCAGTGCCCAGGCTGCTCAAGGAAGGAGGGGCAGGGCGGTTAGTACCCGATGCCCAGTTCCAGGTAGACCCTGCTCACCTCCATGGGATTCACTGTGCACAGGCCAGTGGCCCCATCTCCTTAGCTCAGGACCTGTAACAAAACTAGCAGGTCCCTTGCGGGTCCCTGTGGGTCCCTCACCCCTAGCGTGGATGCCCCGGAGGCAGCTACGGGCAGTGCTTCTAGCCGATTCTTCTGGAGTCTGTGCCAGCTTCTCAAAAACATGCTTAAACGTGTACTCCTTGAAACCTCAGTTTCCACTGTGCTCCCGCCTCTGCCTCGATTGTCCTGGCCAGCTCCTGTTGTGGGCCAATTCACAATGGCGTGGGCAGTGTCAGGGGAGAGCCGGGGGTGGTGACCACAGCAGGGGCTTGCTGGGGCCCTGGAGAAGGGGTGGGCGGCGACCACGGGACCTCCGGACCCCTGGAGGGCCCTGCCACAGCCAACTCAGCACAGTCGGGAGGGGGGAGCATGGGCCATCCTCCTGGGGGTAATTTGGGGATAAGAGAGGGTCCCGTGGGACACTTGGAGCTTTACCTTGGCTTAAGTGAATCACCGTTTGCATGACTGTTTCTGTGTTAGCGTTACTCACGAAAGACCCACAGTGACCCCTGGTTCTATTACCTTTGTTATACGTACTTTTGTTTTCCCGGAATTAACTTTCTAAGTGCCTATTCCTAATTCACCCCGGGATTTCCAGTAAAATGCGCCTCTGCTGTGAGCACGGTGAACAATGAATGATCAGTCCACCCATTGACCTGGTTTCTGAGACACCCCTTCTGGAGACCTCTGCCTGCCGGCTGCCCCTGCTGCCAGCCCCACCCTCCTCTGCCGTCATCCTGGGAGCCCCTCCTCTCTCCTGGGCTAGATTCCTCCCACATCTTCCTCTTTTCTTTTTTTGGAAAAAAAAGAAGCCAAAATTTTATTTATGTTTATTTATTTTTGAGAGAGAGAGAGAGAGAGAGAGAGAGAGAGAGAGACACAGAGCATGAGTGGAGGGGAGGGGCAGAGAGAGAGGAAGACACAGAATCCGAAGCAGGCTCCAGGCTCTGAGCTGTCAGCACACAGCCCGACGCGGGGCCCGAACTCACAAACTGCGAGATCATGACCTGAGCTGAAGTCAGACACTTAACCGACTGAGCCACCCAGGCGCCCCCTTCCTCTTTCTTGGTCAACGTACTTTCTTATTTCGGAGGAACACATTCTCCAATAGCTTCCTGGAAACAGAGAGGGTGGAGATCAATGTTGTAAGACCCTGTGTGTATGAAAGTTTTATTCTACCCTCACACTCGATGCTCTAACTGGGAAGGGAATTATAGGTTGGAAAAACCTTCCATTGGGAATTTGAAGGTATTTCTGCATTGTCTTTTAACTTCCAGCGTTGCCTGAGGAAGTTGGAAAACATTCTGGTTCCTGATCTTCCCGTGGCCCCGTTTCACCCCCTGCTGCCCCTGAGCCCTGAGCCCTGTACCCTTTGCCCTATGCCCTGTGCCCTGAGCCCTGAGCCCTGGGCCCCATGCCCTGAACCCTCTACCCTGCGCCCTCAGCCCTGCAGGGTTCGCCCTACACCCTGAGCCCTGCACCCTGAGCCCTGTGCCCTGAGCCCTGTGCCCTATGCCCTGTGCCCTGAGCCCTGTGTCTTGCGCCCTGAGCCCTGAGCCTTGCACCCTGAACCCTGCACCCTGTGCCCTGCGGGGTTCACCCTGCACCCTGAGCCTTCACCCTGCGCCCTGAGCCCTGTACCCTGTGTCCTGTGCCCTGAGCCCTGTGCCCTGTACCCTGGTGGTGATGCACCTGGTGTATTTGTTCACCCACCACACCACATGGTCGGGAGCTTTTCTAACTGGAAACTCAGTCACTGGCTTGGGAAATTTCATGTGATTGTCTCCCCTACCGTCTTCCTTCCGGACGTCCCGTCAGCACGGCACTGGGCCTTTGAGCTGGCGCCCCAGGTTTCCCGTTCTCCCCTCTGGCCTGGCGTTGGCTCTGATTTCTGGGAGATGTCCTCAACTCCGTGTCCTAATTTTCCTGCTCAGGCTTTTATTTCTGCCTCCATACACTGAATTCTCCAGCACGTTCCTTCTCCGTAGCCTTCCCGCATCCTCGGAGACGGAAGGCCCCTCATTTCTCTGAGGTGGTGATGAAAATCGGCTCTGAGAGCGTCTTCTTGTGCCCTCTCCCGCCGGAGGGCGTCCTTGAGTGCCAGGGGGCCTCGTGGGGCTGGCTGAAAGGTGGACTGGAAGAGAGTCTGTGTCGCGAGGGGGACTTTTCTTGACCTTTTGTCCCCCCCCCCCCACTGAGGAAGTTGAGTCAGGGCGATAAGGCCAAGGAATGAAACTGAAGACATGGGGCCGGAAAGGAAGAATTAAAACATCTTTCTTGCAGGTGCCGTGACCGTAGGGAACCCTAGGGGATTCACCATAAAACCACTAGAACCATTGAAAGAGTTCAGCAGGTTTTCAGGATCAAGATCTATCTGCCAAGATCAGTTGTATTTTCAGGCTCGACAGACAACCTGTCCAGAATGAAGTTTGAAAAACATCCCCCCACAAGGGCATAAAGAGAATAAGATACGTGGGAATAAGTTTAACAAAAGATGTGTGGGACCTGCACCCGAAACCACAAAACACAGCTGAACAACACGGAGGGAGATGTAGATACACAGACCTTCCTGCCCAGGCTCAGGAAACTCACTCAGTATTGCTAAGATCCAGTTCTCCCCGAATTAACTTAAAGGTCACAGCCGCGCCTGTCGGAATCCGGCCGCTCTCCTGCAGGCGTGGACAAGCTGGTCTGAAAACTCTAAGACAGCAAGCGCCTCTCCCCACGGGCCATGCGCTGAGGGGCAGCGTCTCCTGATCTAAAGGTTTCAGGTTTTCTAATGTGTCCGTCCTTTCCTGTGGGGCCCGTGCTTGTTGGGTCTTGTTTGAGAAATGCTTTTATTCTGAAGCCACGAAGCTTTATCTTTTTGAAACCTTATGGTTTGCCTTTTGTGCGAAAGTCCTTGCCCCAAGCTCATGTGTGCGCGTGGGTGCACATGCGTGTGTGTGTACGTGTGTGCACGTGTGCATCTGTGTGCGTGTGTGTGTGTGCATGCGTGTTGTAAGGGTCACCTCTGTCAGGCAGCGCGTGTCCCCCGGGGCAGGGGCCATCTGATGGCTCCCCTCCGACCCCTCCAGCCCGTCGTGCGTGAGCTGACCCAGCTTGGTAACCGTGGTGACGTCTGGAGGGCGAGTCTCCTCTCCTCGTTCTTCTTCCAGACAGACTTGACTCTTCTTGGGAGTTTTTCAAACTCCCACAAAAACCTCAAAATCAGTTTCCCTAGATTAAAAACAAATAAACAAAAAACCCGCGGGGATTTTTGTTGGGCTTATGCCCAAACCGTTAAAGGGTACAGTGAACACATGGCAAAAATCCCACCTATTTATTCATGAGGAAACAAATAAAATGTTGCCACCAATTCACATGAGGATTTGATCTGAAGAGATCTGTGTCCCTGCCTGGCAAAGCTCCCTTGCGGCCCTGGGGACAGGAACCGTGCATGTGTCTGTGGACAGCAGCATTTGGAGCGCCCACCGTCTCTCGGGCGAATGTCGCGCTCACAGTCATCAAACGGCCCAGAGACCCCCCCCCCCCCACCCCAGGCCCAGATGTGCAGATACGTCCAAAGTACAACATGAACGTGAGCTGGTGTGGCTGGTGCAAGGGTGCGGCCGAGTGTGGTGTCCAGCCTGGGGGGTTGGGGGCAGCCTTGGTTGGGAACGGGTGATCTGGGGACGTTTTCGGACAAGGTGCCCACAGTGGGGCTGGGAGGAGGGTGGAACAGAGGTGGAGGGTGGAGGCCCAAGGCGCCTGTGCCCAGCAGACCAGGGTGGGTCTGGGAAAGGTCCTGGCTCGAGGGACGGGCCAGCTGGGGGCTGTCTAGAGGTGGGGCCCAGCCCGGACGCACAGTGCACGGCCAGGCCCCTTGGTCCAGGGGGAGGACGGCAGCCTCCCGGGCCCTGGCAAGGAGGGAGGACATGACCCCAGTCCCAGGACAGCGCAGCTCTGGGTGTGTAGAGGCTCGTGGTGTCGGCCCAGGGCGACGGTGGCCGGATCTTTCAGGGCTGCCCCCGTGGAAAGGCCCCGATGCTGTCACATGTGAGGATCCTTGACAACCCTACTTCCTTAACAGTCAGGTGGAGTTTGCTGTGGCTCTGGCTACGGCCCCGGCCCGTTCCGGGGTGTGGCACCGCTCCTCAGGGCCTGGGATGCAGGTGTGGAGGCCCCAGAAGGCCAGGGGGCAACCGGTGCCCAAGGCAGCGCTGGCCCGCGGGAGAAACCGCTGGCTGGTGTGCGGCCCCAGGGCTGGTGCTGGGACCAGGGTGTGTGAGAGTGGCCGGGAGCCGTGCACAGGTCCGTGGACAGACAGGCTGGCGGCTGAGCGAGGCCGGACCTGGGACGGGGCGCCGCGGCCGCGGGCACCCTGCCCAGGACGCTCGGGAGCGCGCGCGGAGTTCTATGGTGATGATGTTCCACGCGTGGCAGACGCCCTGAACAAGGGGGGCTCTGCTGAGGACTCTGCTGGTGGCAAACCTGGGGTCTAAGTATCCCCCCTCCCCCCCCCCCCCCCCCCGCCACGCCCTGGGGCAGGTCTCACTGGCAGGCCGGCTGGGGGAGGGAGGGAGCTGGGAGGGAGTGGATTTCAGCAAGTGGTGGTGGCCACTTTGTAAAGGCCAGGCCAGGACGACCCCCAAAGCCAGGGGGTCCCCTGCAGCTACCTACTCACACTCGCTGGCACCCGGGCCTGGCCACTGCCCCCTTGCCCCACCTCCAGCCCTCGTGTCCTCTGGAACGTGGCTCTGGGTGCTGAAGGGAGGCCGTGGCTGTCCGTGGCCATCTGGCCTGGGGCCACCCTGGTGTGATGGGGCCCCAGCTTGGCTTGGAGCAGAGCAGAGTCTGTGACAGTTAAGTCCCTGTCTTGACCCGAAGACCCTAAGTCCCGGCTGGGGGCGTGGCACCCCGTGGGGGTCACAGAGGTGTCAAAGAGAAGCCACCTGGAGGGAAGCCAGGACACGAGCAGCGTGACCACAAGCACACCGCAGACAGAGCCAGGGCAGGGCTGGGACACGGAGCTCCTGGGGTAGGAGACACCATGAGGTCGGGACTCAGCCACGCCCTCACCTTGCTCCTGTCACCCGAGGGACCAGAGGTGTGGCTCCAGGGACACATATCAGATTGCCCAGGGAGGGGGGGAGGGGGGGGCTGGAGGTGGATCTCAGGAGGTAACTGTGGGTTGAGAACCTCCCTGGTGAGGCCCAGGCCTGCAGGGGCCCCTTGATCTCACAGAAGAGGAGCCTGGAGCTTCAGAAGGTGCTAGAGCCAACTCCTGTTCCACAGTGCCCCTGCAGCAGCCAGCTGAGGGGGGGGGGGGGGGCCGGGTCCCGGGCGAATTTCCCCCCAAGGCAGAGTCAGTTTGTTCAGGGCTGTGCTGGGCGGGGAGGGGGTGAGGCGCTGGGCCCCCGGGGCAGCCATGACTACTGAACCCGGGAGGGATGTCTGTCTGGCACAGGCAGCTACGGCACACGTCAGTCATTCACAAGCTCAGTTACTAGAAGTTCCATAAAGCCAGACAAGGAGAGGCAAAAACCGATTCTGGCTTTCTCACAGAAGTCTGTGAGGCGTCGTCCCCTCCCCACCCAGGGTCTGGAGCAGTGATCAAGCCCCAGAAAAGATCGCTGTGAAAGGAGACCACGTCCTCCTGGAGCGCTGCTCGCTGGGGGAAGGGGCCCGCTCGCCTTGGTTCCCACGGAGACACAGACTGGCGGCAGTGTGCGAGAGGCCGACTCTGGCGGAGCCTGGCAGGGTCTGGGCAGGGGTGAGCTTTCAGAGGGGACGTTTGCAAACACAGAGGCGACACTGCGTCACAGCCCCCCGGCTGGGTCC